CCTTCACAAGTATGATCAAAAGTCCTTATCAAGTGTAGTCGTGCAAGAGTAAGGAAGATGTCATTCATTTGCAGACGAATTTTTCGCTCTTCTTCATGGCAGTTGTCATTATTTCTGAAAAATTAGTATTGTTCAAACTTATCTTTGAACTGTTCATATGTAGTTCTGAATGTCATATCAAAAAGACAAAAATCTCACCACGAAGCAAGGGTCAGCTCTGCTATGTTTCTAGAAGCATTTGGGGTTAACCACATGCGACTGCCACTTGCGGCTTCGACGTCCTACTTGAAAATCCGCGAAAGCCTGGATTGAAGTGAGCAACGATTCATCAATGAAAACTAAAGGGTTTTGATATTCCGATGCTGTAGTGATGTACCTGCAATATTATCGATCAATTGCATGACACAATGTGTGTGGATTAGCACAAAGGTCAAACACGTCAATCTTTACTGTCTGCATTCACCCCTTTGCAACAGACTCACTCTCCTACCTGACAACTGATGATGAGAGCCTTCTCTGATCCTTCAGTCGCAATGTGGACACAATTTCTCCGAGAACTGCTCATCGGATTGTGGAAAGGTGCGATAGTGGCAAGATTGGATAATCACTGAATTGCTGAAACCTGAATTTGTCTTCAACGGAAGCAAATGAACAAGATGGGCGGAAGAGGTGACCATTGTCACGACCCTTCGGGATCTTGGTGTGCACATCTGAAATTGATTTTTTTGCATTTGAAAAGTAGTTCACAGATATTTCCAGAGGACAAAAGCAATCTCGAATAAGTATAAAACAAAAACATTTTTGACAAAAAAATTATTCAGAACCAACTCAGAATGCTGTTTTTGAGAATCAAAAGAAACATAGAAGAATTGAAAAATTGCAGAGGACATATAAGATATTGTGGAGGGCCAGTTAATTGGGAATCGTTAAATCGGATAATCATAGTCGTTGAAAATTTTGGGTTTTTCAACTGGGGGAAAGATGAGGAAACAGGTTATATTTTTCAGTATCTTATGAATTATTGTCTCTCCTGATCTTTGCTTTTCAAAAATTTGGACCTATTTTTACGACACGGACTGAATCAATAACTTTTGTCCGCACTGTAAAAGACTAGTAGAATTTACACAACAATGGCTACTCCCTGAAATTTTATTGCCTAAATTCTTTAAATTTGTATGATAATTCCTGAAAAAAAATTCCATGTAGTTTGGGAAAAAGTGAGATTATTGTTAGAGAAAAATCATTATTTCCAAAAAGTGATTTTTGAAAAAAATTGTATAACTTATTCCCATTCGTCACGGCATTCTTCTTCCCAGAATCGCAGTTGAGTGTCTTCACACCATTAATATTTTATTATCTGCAGTTACACTCTATTGATCCCTAAAACAATGACTGTGTTCGTAAATCAGACTATAAATCTGTGGAAAGGTGAAGACGGGGTGAAAGCTCCGCCCCTGACTCTGCCTATATAAACCCTCAGGTAGCAACCATTGGCATTCATTCCTCTTTCTACCCCGATAGATTCCCAGCCGACCTTCTGTATGGACGTCGGGAATCTATTCCCATTGATTTTTTTGAAAATCCTAATATTCATAGCGTATAATATTCTATTACATTCAAAGTTTTACATATTCTTTTACGTCCCATAATTGAGATTTGAAGGGGAGTCAGCAAAATACGTTTGGAAAATGTGTTGTTTAACAAAAAATCTTATTCACACGTCGCTGCAAGACAGTGCAGGAGGATCCACAAACCCCGCCTGACGAAATATTGGTCAAAATTTATGATAACGATATTTTTTATGGACTATGGAAATAAAGATCTTATCAAAAAAAATTGGTCTGCGGACAACAAAAGTGACATCTTTGTTTTTTTTCATACCATTTTATTTCAGATCGGCAACTGGTTCGTTCAACGACGAATTCGGAATGAACAGCTCAAGAAACCGTAACAGAGCCGATTCTAGAGAGCTTGTTCCAGAAACATCAATTTCTAGGAAGACAAGAAGAGAATGAGTTTGAAAAGCAGACTGAGATCAGTTGGTTCATTGTAAGTAAACACATTTCAAGCCTCAAAACTGAAAAAAGTTTCAGATGCATTCCTGGTTCAACAAGAAGCGTCAAAAAGTCATTCGACTTCACTTGAGCCGTTGTATAGCTAACTTTTTCAAACCTGAAGTGCTTCTCAATTACGAAGAATATAAGGACTTTACCTGATTGGAACAAATTGTTGAAAGGATTGGGGGCAGCACAAGCAGTTTATGTGGCAAAATTCGAATTCGAATGAAGAGAAAGCAGAAGCTCAAAAAAAACAGAAGGTCATAATAATGAAGAACCAGAAGATGAAGAATTGGAAGAAGAAGAAGAAGAAGACGAAGACGAAGAAGCGCAAGGAAAAACTCATAAGGTCGTCAAAATCCGAAACTCGCATATTATGTTCTTCATTCCAGGAAGTGACAAAACATTCTATCTACAATTATTGACGAACCAATTTTATTGCAATTGAATAAAAATTCATACTATTTGTATTTTTTTACAATTGCTGAATTAATTAATGATTCTATTCGAATTTGATACAACATTTTGACCCTTGATATTTTGGCACATTCGTGGGATAATTGAAATCAAGCTTCCCTGTTTTCTGATTTTGCCAGTCTTTTAAAGTGCGTTCAATAATGATAGGAAACCCTGTCTTCGATTATAACTCGAGAATGGAGAAAGGTATCAAAAAACTGTGAACGCCATTCGATTTAAAATTTGAAATTTCTACGGTACCAAAGCTATTAATTCCGTCCGTGTCGTGAAACTAGGTCAAAATTTTGTATAGGCAAAGATCAGGACTACTAAAAAGGGACTGAAAAGGTACTATTAATAATTACAAAACATGAGCACATCTCAAAAACAAAAAACCTTATCGAAAATTTGTAAATTACAAAATCATACCCTTTCAAGTTTTACACATTATTGTACAGTGCTCCACAAAATAGCTATGGAATGGATTGAAAACCGAAAGATACAACTTTTCAATAAATTCAAAGTATTACTTGTAATCAGGGATGGCTGAAAACGGTTCAATATTAAGAAATATCCCCCCAAAACAGCGAATCATCAGCCGAAAAAAGGAAAAGTCGAGCGTTGTGCGGGTGGGCGTGAGGCCGGGGACTAGAATACCAAACGCCGTGTAGTCCTCTCGGACAACGGCTTCAAATAGGTAAAACAATTATGGATGGACTCACAAACGAAGGATAATAATTTTCAATAAAAAATCACACGATGCCAAAGATGTCTAGGATGATTTTAAAGAATTTTCGGGCAAACCTGTAAAAGAAAGAACAATTGTGAGCCCTAGCCACATCAAAATTTCAAAACAATTTATTTCGGAAAAAGAGTTATTTGAATGTTCATGTCGCTTTTTATGCTGAACGATCTGAACAAAGCAGCAGCAGGTATTCCCAGGTAGAAGTCATCGAAAATTCTTCGTGATGACCATTAACTTCATGAGTGGTTGAATTGAGAGTCCGACGGCTTCTCGGCCAATGACTAGACCATCCAGAAGATCTTGCAATGTTCCGATAGAGTTACCCAATGCAGGCTTTTCTTCCGGAGCTCTTGAACGACCTCTCGCTTCATAATGAAAGTTGAAGATTATCCTTTTTGAGCTGATCCGTCTCTATCCATGAGCTCTTTTATTGAAATTAGGCGATAATGTTGTCTCGAAGATCTTGCCTGAAACAGGAATATTTCGATTTGCTTTTAGTTGCTGAATATCACGTAAGAAAAATTTCAGCAGGAGTGCAATATAATAAAACTCACATCGTAGACGAAATGTTTGTGAAGTGATGGTAGACAATCAAATGATGGTAGTTATCTTCTGCTTGAAGTTAACGGTGATGGCATCATGGAAATCGTATTCTTTTTGACTTCCTGTTTCAGATGCATTCCTGGCGTTCAGTAGACCAGACTCCTAGCAATACACAAAGCCTGGCTCGACTCGTTGTACTTCTTCGAACAGATCAAAAGCATACTTGTGAAATTTCGGCCCGGGCCGGGCCGGGCCGAGAGAAAATTTTCAGGGCCCGGCCCGGCAGAAAAAAAACAAAATTTTTGAAAAATGAATTTAAACAGCCGCCATTTTTGTCCTTACTTTACTTGTTATGTTTTCTTTTTGTTATATTTGAAAATTGTTATGAAATTATGCTGTTTTTGTTTTTGAAAATGAATTTATTGATTTTTAGAATGTATTGAGAAATAACTCGAAGAAAAAAAACACTGAATACCTTTTTTCGAAACAATGATTCA